AAAATGGGCCTCCGATTAACTTCAAAACGAGCTGAGTGGGCTTAAAATGGACTAAGATGGGCCATATATGGGCATGCGATGGGCCTCAAAATGGGCTTCGATGGCCCTCAAATGGGTCTGAAATGGGCTTAGGCGGGCTTTAAAATGGGCCTTTGGCGGGCCTCAAATGAACCTCAAAATGGTCTGAGACGGGCTTAAAATGGGGTTAAGTGGGCATTAGAGGGGCCTTAAAATGGACATCATATAGTGCTAAAATGGGCCTTAGCGGGCCTCATATGGGCATGCGATGGTCTCAAATGGGCCCTAAATGGGCCTTAGACTGGCCTTAAAACGGGCATTAGACTGGCCTCCATATGGGCCTTAAAATGGACCTAAAATGGGCCTTATATGGCCTTAAAAGGACATTCGATGGGCCTTATATGGGCCTGCGATGGCCCTCGAATGGGTCTGAAGTAGGCCTTAGACGGGCCTAAAAATGGGCCTGAAATGGGCATTAGAGGGGCCTTAAAATGGGCCTCCAATGTACCTCATAATTGGCTGAGATGGGCCTTAAAATGGGCATCGGATGGATCTTAACTTGTTCTTTCTAAATTTTTGTCAATCATTATCTATCGAGTGAAGAGTTAAAATTCTTGAATCAAGACTGTAAAGAGTAAAAAAATGATTGAGCTTGCCATTGCAGAAGATCAGATTTCATGTAGAAAATAATATCCCACATATATTCATGAACACAGTTAAAAATTTAGAAAATATAAACTCAATTATATATATACATATATATATATATTCATGGAAGCAAATAAAAATTTTAGAAAATATAAGCTCTTTTTTTTTTTTTTTTGGTTTTGGAGTTAATATTTTGGGGAAAAAGTAAATGATGATTGGAATTCACTCTCTATTTCCTTTCACTTATACTATCTTAAGTCCTAAGGAAACTTCATTGACAGTAAGTTTGCTTCCAACATTTCTGAGTACCTCAAAGAAGTTCCCTCACTAAGAATTTGGTAACACTATTAGCTCCTTAAGAGTTTATAATCTGTTGTAAGTGACATATATTCCCTTACTATATAGCCTGATATCCTTTCTCTCTTCCCCAGCAACTCCCAGACACTCCATAAGAGTTTATAATTTGCTATAAATGAAATCATTCCGTAACTCATTTCTCAGATAGAGCCTAAATACTTTCGTAAATTATAAACAAATAAAAACAACTCAAACTCAATTCTTCACCCGTTCTGTTTCAGATTCTATTTGGTCTACCGTCTTTTTCAGAGTAAGTCAATTTCGCAAAATTGTGCCACTTCAGCGAGAATTTTTCACCGATCAACGCACGGGAGATGCAAAGAAAATGACAACAAAATATACGAAAAATCCGGCCAAAAGAATACCCCCGTAAATGAAAGTTTGAGAGGATTGGACGGGATACTTGTACTCAATCTCGCAGCATCTCATTTTCTCCCTTTCTGCAGCCAGAACTCGATCTACGTACCTAAATCCCAGAGATGGAGAGAATGAGAGACAATCCTCAAGTTTTCTTTTTCCAATAAACTAACAAAATGTCGACATAAGCTTTTTCTAATGGAATGGTGAAAACCATTGCAACACGAGAAAAAGGTTTTAAGCTTACTGCTGGGTGAACATGGAGCTTTGAAGAATTTCCGAACTGTTTAAATGGGCATCTTGCAATCGGTGATCGTATAACAACGAGGATAGATCAACAAGTTGCTCCTCAAGGCTCTGTTTTATAATGATAAAGGTAATGCACTATGATACTTAGAAAATAATAATAAGCAGTTTATGAGTTGGAGGCGGCTTACATCTAAATATTTCTCCAAACGGTCAACTAATTCATGAGGAAAAGGTTCTGGCAAGTTTGTTGTCTTTTTATAGAATTTCTCCAACCATAGCTCAGTTGTAGATTTGTTCTTCTTGCCCTTCACAGGCTCACCCACTGGAGTTTTAAGATATTCAGAAGCAAATGTTTGAACAGCCTGTATAAGTTAAAGAGGATTATGGTCAGACTAAAATCACAAGAATTATCAACAGCATGGTGGAGCTAAGTCACCTCTGAAGTATCACGGATTCTGCGAAGAGCTGAATCAACGCGTGCATAAATTGTGTTTCTCTGCCAGCAAGAAAAATATTATTTCAGATATTCAGATAGAACTTTCTTATATTAGTATAGAATTTAGTACATATACAAATTCAATCTTCAATAAGGCAGTCCTGATGCAACAATAGACTTGAGTCTTATCTAGATGCACATAAGAATAGAAATTTGCATTACCAAAGCGACATCCTGAAGCATTTGACTGATCTGAGAAGTATTAGAAAATGGTCCAAATGGATGACAACCAGTTGCCCAGAGCCAATTCACAATGGGCCTCTCATGGACATGAGAAACCTTTTCATACGGTGCACGCAATCCACCCACAGCTGAGGCCAATCCTGCCAATATATGGCGCTGTGCCTGTGATGGAATAGCATGCCTTCTCTCTGTTTCGGAAACATAACTGTCCAACAAGAAATGGATATATTTCATGAGCATATACTATGGGAACTCCATTCAAGAACACTATAGAGCTTGAAATCAGGATTTCTCACCTCAGAGGTATCTTATCATTTTGATGCTGAAGTACTATGACAACATCTTTGCTTGTCCATACAAGGCTCTCATCCTCCATCATAAGGTTTGGATCAACATCAGCCAATGATAAGACGAAGCTGCAAAGAATGCTTTATGTCAAATGATTTTGCAATGATGTATCTTGAATCAAACTCCGCATCTACAACACCACCACAAATCCATGACATTTTACCAGAAATGCATATGGTCATGTAAAAATTTACAATTTCCTTTTTCAATTTCTTGCTGTTTAGAGTTTAATCAAAACCTACTTTGCACAGAGCACCGTGCATGATAGCACAAGACAAAAACTATCAGAAAATAATCCACTAATCTGAACCGGAAAAAGCATACTGGAAAATAAATGCTATACAATTTTCCATTGTCTTGGGCTTCATATATTCAAATTTTAATAGTTGATACTATGTCAAACACGGCATCATATATTAGAATCTTCCAATTAATTTATGAGTTGCATTCTTATGTAACAAATGCACTTACATCAAAACAAGACCAAGAGGCGTATACTCACACAGGAATAACTCTTGTTCCATAAGTCCGAAACAGATCTCCTTCTTTCTTTTGCTTTTTCTTCTTCTTCCCTTTGACATGTCTTGAATCATAAGTTGCCCAAAGAGGTTTATGCTTTACATAGAATCACTTGAAACTTCGGATTCATCCATCCAGTGCTGTGGGACAAATCAACACATGAATACCACGAAAAGATAGTCAATGCTAGAAAACTCACGGAATATATGCATAAAACACATTCATTCCAAAATTGGAATTGAGAAAATTTTCAGACTAACTAATTATAAGAAGATTACCTGTCGGAGGAAAAATTTACTCGAAAGGGCTGGGTCAGCCACTTCAAGTAAACCAGCAGCAAGCACATCTGCAGACCTTTCCATTTCTGAGAAGCAATTTAAAGAGAGAATACCAAAATAGTAACCTTCTGACCTTTCATTATTGAAAATGAAAAGAAACAAAAATGCTGTTCAGTACAAACAATTAAGGAAGTGGAGAAGAGAAGAACCAACTTCTTTAAGAATAGCACCATCTAGGTATGTTTTGGTATGAACGCGAAAACGCCCATCCTTCTTAGTTTCTTGAAGAGAATGGCCGCGCATGGCTTTTGACACAGCAATAGCCAACTTTTCATGCCGGTGTAATGCATGTGAACCCCCAATAATTACAACTTCTTGTCCATCATGAACCAACTTCCTCACCTGAAACAACAGAAAAAGTCAAAATGTCAGCTGTTTTTCAAACTATCACATATTGTTACCTGGTAAACTAACTTTGGCAGTTTGACTATAAACAAGCTGAGATAATTATAGTTCCTTCCTTGGCAGCAAAACTAAACTATCAGTCTCAAGTTCGGTTCCATTCCCACCCTATGAATTTGAGAAACATGAATTGTATCCAAATTCAATTTGAAAAACTAGAATGCAATTCAAAGTTTATGAAATCGATGGATAAAGAAAAAGAATAAAAATTGTGAAAACTTAATTTTTTATGTGTAATTAGAATTGTTAAGGAAATATTAGTAGTTTTAGTAAACTTAAGTATAGCTTTGAGATTTTACTTATTCTCCTAATTCAGTTTCATATTTAGGTTTTGGTTTTTAGTTAGTTTCCTATTTAATATGTACTTGGTGACAGTATATAAACAACTTTCGACGATTTAGCAATAGGTTAGGTTACAAATTTAGTCATACCTTAAGAAACTGTAAAATCGAAATTCTACTTTTCTCTCACATTTTAAATTATTTTTATATTGAATAATCATGATTTTGAGGGCTAGCATAAAAATTCTGAATTTTGGACCATATTCTACTTCTTTATACTGGAAATTACAAGAGCCGTGTCTTTAATTTGAATCTAAATGAGCCATTATTTCAGTATTTAACATCTTCCCAGGTGGCCTCGTGATATAAGTAAAGGAGAATCACAGTGGGAGACAAAGAAATATGCAGAGAGAGAAGATACGAAGATAGAGTGAGCAAAAAGAGAGTATTCTAATTCTATTCCAGTTCCACTCTTATACCATTATAGCTATTAGTTCCCATCACCCTATGAATGCATATTTATCGTGTATCACCACACTACTTTCTTTTTTAAGGTTAAGAATTAGTCCTTTCTACTCCTCAATTCTAAGTCTAATCATCTTCAAAGAACCTCCAGAATTACAGCATGAAGAAATGAAAAATTAACTGGAATCATGCACCTTAAACTTATCAGTAATAGTATACACGACTTAGCACACAAGGCAGTCGATTAGATACTAAGATGTTACTCTAGATAGGATAACTCACTTCGGCTTCAATTTCTTCAATATTTATGCTGTAATTATGGCCTTTCTCCATGATATTGTACCGATTATGGTTTTGGAGAACAATTATTGGTATGAGTAACCTTGTTGTTAGATCAACAGTTTCAAACCTGGGTGCATGAGGAAAGAAGAATAATCAGGCTTCTGCTTAGAAGAATCTCTGATGAGCCACATTACTATAATTATGCATTAATTAATTTGAGCTAAAGAGAGTTAAATACCTAACATCAGGAGCAATTACATGCTCCACTGTGGTTGATATCAATGAAGCAAGTTGTCCAACAAAAATCTCATGGGTAATATGGTCATTGACAGCGCCCAAACCTTTTGAAAACATCACGTTTCGGATCCTTGGCAATGTTCTGGGGCTAACACTTCCCTCCTCAGTTTCTATCTTCCCATATGTGCAGGGCCCAGCAGAGAGATCAATCACAACAAATCTGAACAGCATAATACAAATCATAGATAAAACAAATGAATGATTCACAACCTATCCTCAAATACCCCAGTAAGCATATTTGGTGAAGTCTGAGATGGAGTTATAAGGAAATGAAAAATCAGATCTAATATGCCGCTTATGACTGTGTCAATGGTAAATCTGTATAAAAAGACCACTATGCCTCTCCTAGGGCATTAGGCAAGACATATACAGGAGGATGGGCAGATATATGAGTAAATGCCTTCATTCTCACCTAACACTTCACATGTCCGTCCAAACCTTTCCAGGCACTTCTAGTAGCATTCTAGATTAACATTGTCAGTCAAAGTTCCTCTAGCATTTTCAGAACTTCCAATACATCTCTGCATCTTTCCTTCATGATTCCCTTATCATTATTCACATAACATTTTCATAATGCACTTTGGTTGCACAGTCTGTGGAATGCTTTTCTATGCATCCTATTCCATACAGCAAAGGAATAAACATATAAAACTATTCTTATCATTCTGATGAAAATCCTGATGCAGCTATTAAACCTGATTCATTCAAGGTGAACTAAGAAAATCTTCAACACAGTTAGCAAACTTATTGTGTGATCTTCTATGCATAAGGATCTCTTTGCACCTAACATAAAGACTACATTTCCATATCAGACGTAGCATTTTGTGCAATTTTGCGTATAGGAATCAGATTAGGATGAGAGTAAAACAATTATACCTGCCAGAGGCCAACCAAACTTGAGATGCTCCACCTCCACCATATCTATAGCGATAAATATAATCCCCTTCTTGTTTTTTCAGGTCTTCATCACTTAAGTCAGTAAGTTTGGCAAACATCAAATTGTCTAGATCAATGTTCTTATTCCTAGGATCCATTCTTACCTGAAAGAATAGTCAACAGCCATACAAAATATATTAGTAAATAAAGAATGAAAGGATAATATTATAACATTTAGAAAGATAGCCAGACTACTGAGAACAATGAAAAAGAATTCTAGGTATAGTTTTAGGCCTTGATGAGAATGAACTACAAGCTAGAACTAGATAAAACTGAGAAAACCAATATTAGCTTTAGCAGCTTGCATATAATACAAATCAAAGAAACAAATTAGAGATTGCAGACTTCACCTTATCAAAGTTAACAAGAAATATTGCGCTTGGCACAGGTCTATCCATTTCTACAGCAGAATATCCTCCAGTATCCATGTCAAATATGTAAGAATAAAGCTTATGAAATTCGAACTCCATAGCTGTCGCATCCACCTCAAACAAGGGCACCTCTCTTCCAAAATCAGCCTTGAGAATAAACAGAAATTTATGTCTTTGCATGGTTATTTTCTTTTAAGAAAAGGGACAACTAAGTTCGGCAAGAGCTGATATGAAAAATGACATTCACCTCTCTTGCAGTCCCAGCAGGAACCATGGCGCCTTTCACTGCCTTCTCTAGTGCTATCACTTCTGGTTGCCCAGACTGCAGAAAGCACATAGATAGCAAACACACAAGTTAGATCAGTTAGAGATAAAGTATGAGTATCATCGACATCTAACGGTACTAAAGAACACATGCCATGCACAAATACGCCCATGTATGCACAGACATAACACACATATATAGAGTCTAAGAGTTAGGAACTAAAAGCACAAGCATGTGCATAACAGAGACTGGATACGTTTTAAAGTAAGTTCATTACTGAACAATAGGATTGAAACTGCTCAACTGGTCTTTGCATAAATCACATATGAAGAAAACATCTGTCATTAAGATCATAAAAAACTTATTGAAATAAGAACTTGATAAGTTAAGCCGCTCAACCATGCAGAAAATGGAAAGAAAAGGAAAATTAGTTTAATGAAACATATAAATATGCTCACAGGGAACACGTTAAAGACGACATGATGCTCGATATCAAGGGGCTCGCCTGTCTCCTGGCACGATGGTCTGTGTGATGGGAAACTAACTCTCAGGAACTCTTCCAGTTTATGTGAGTCTACAGTATATCGGTAGCCTCCATCACCATTCAGACCAATTAGTACTACATTCACTTCAAGTGGAACCTGGAACGGTACCTGCATAAAACCTGTATTCATCACCAAACATATAATGCACAACCGAATCCATCAATGCTTCTCAATGTTACCCTTCTTTAATTAGGAGGCAAAAAAATGACCCTAGTGAGTGATATTGACAAGATTTATCTAACAAGCTATACCCCGTGTCCACTTATTAATGAATCATAGTTTAAATGCATATATAATAGAAATAAGCAAGAATCTAATCTTCGCCTAGCATGACTCTCATAATTCTGAGCATCGAGAAAATGGAATTTCCCATTTTACGGCCTACACAATTACAAAAATCCTTTCTCTCAGAAGCAAAAACAACATCAGACCTTTAGTTATAAAAAATGCGGAGTAATCGAGATCATGAATGAATTTATGATGAACATCAACGATTTGAACTTAATGATTGTAATGCCTGTAACCATATACATACACAGATACACGAATATTAACACAGGTAAACATAGAAGAAACCTCGGCGCGCGTATGGAGCATCCGGCGAACATCGGTTCGAACACTTTCTCGGACATCAAGAAAGGCCCCGTGATGCCAGTGCGGATGACCGGTGTCCCTTCGGAAAGGTTGCTGAACCGACTCTGAGCAGGTGACTAGTAGACTCACTGCAGCAATCAATTCGATACAAGATAAAAATGAGATGGAGCTCGAACTCGAGCTCGCCCTCGACTTCATCCTCACAATTCTCTCTAATCCTGCTTTGTGCTTCTCTGGTCGAATTTGATTCGCCGGGATTCAGTAACTGGACAGGAAAGGAAGGAGACCGCATTGGGAATTTCGCGAGTAGACCGGAAAATGAAAGTGGACAGGGAATTCATATTTGCTAAAATACCCCTCAATTTATCACTAATTACTAACAGGCCAAAAGTTCCCCAAGTACAACTGGGCCTGGACCCGGGCCCACTACTTTTATGTAAATGGCCCAAAGTTCGGCTTGGTGGGTGCAGTAATAATTAATTGATGTTTTAATTATATCCCTAATAATTAATGCAATAAAAATTACCAAATTGTATTTTAAAATTAAATTATTAAATTTTTTTACTCGGGTAAAACACTATTTACCCAAGTAAAAAAAAATTAATAATTATTGTAATTTGCGAAAATATATTTGATATAAAATTCATTTACAAATACATATTTATTTTACTTAAAAATTCTATAAAAATGCGATACTATATTTTACATTTTATTTATTTCACAGAAAATAATTATCATACTACTAAATAAAGCGAAAATATAAAACTACAAACAACACCGTGGATTCGCACCCATTCACTGTAAGTAGATTATATCAAAAGGGTATTACATTGAATGTGAAATAATTATGGGTTCTGACTCTTGGAAGAACATCTTACAAATGTAAGCCGACTTGGAATTAGTAAACCTCAATATCAGTATCCAAACAGTCCCCCGGTTGCTTGTACAGTGAAAGCTCTCTCTCTCCACTAGCCGTATTCATCATCATGCATCTTCTACGAGCAGTACAGTATCGATCGGAATCACGGCACGCAGAAAATGTCTGGTCTGCAAACTTCATCGGTGTTCTAAGGCACTTCGGACAGACAGCGGGGAGTCTAGCACGGAACCTCTCGAGATAAGGTCATGGTTTAAGAATAAAACAATTACAGTTATATCGTCATGAAAGTGGCGTCGAACCTTCTTGTCAATCTTCCGAAGGTCGGAATATCTCATCTCTCTTTTTCTTGCTGCTTCTTGGAGGGCAGCCTTCACAAGTCTTTTGGCACTTCCCTGAAATAACAGATGACCCATCATAAGCAACAACGACTCAGGTAATTGCTTCATCAATGGCCAAGGAATAGAGAAGAAGAAACACTAGATTCCATAAATATCCAAAACAAAAGTGGAAAATGTGAAGAATCAGTATATAGAAGTGGCCTGGCCCAAGTGCAGAAGCTACAGTTGAATTGAAGAAATAATCTGTAAATAAAGCAGCTGTCCAGCTAAGAGTTCACCATGTTCACATGTTTCGCTTGCATTGTCCTCCTCATTTCTAGTCTACCTTCCTCAAACTCGTTCTCCCGGAACTTCCATTTAAAACATTCTCATGGATTTTTTCCAACTTCCTTTTTTTGTTGAAAATGTCATAAAGACATCGGCTTCTTGTACGACCGTCCATGAACCTATTATAACAATATGATACCTCATCTCCACAAAATTACCGTATTTATTCGAGTTATCCACAAACAAAAATCTCTTTTTCTCTCCTAAGCCTATCACAATGAACCAAAACCAAAGGCATTGTTCTTTTTCTGAACCAGCGGACAGGAGCCTCAGAGAAGCCCCCCAAATACCGAAGTATATTTGAATTAAAGAAATAATCTGTAAATAAAGCAGCTAGACCTAAGAGTTCGGCCTCTTTGCATCTTCTTCTTGCATTGTCCTAGTACATGCTTCATGAAACAAGGAATAAGGATACATTAAGAAAATGCTGTAGTACTTCATGTAAATGCTTTATCCAGATGTAAACCTGAAGATTTTTGGAAAAAAATATTTATTTTATTTTTCACTATATTCCTTGGTGTTACAAATGACACATATATCTACAAAATTCCTATGTGCATATAAAGAAATTACCCTTATAGTAGAGATTCTAAATAATTACAACATTATGAGATAAATTAATGATGAAAGCTATACAGGAAAAGAATCACAATTACTTAGGCAACAAAATATTCATGTCGATAAAACTAAAATTTCATGGCTTGATATCTGCATCTACTAGGTGCCTTAAATTTTTGACATATTTTCAACATGTTCTGCACTGATATCAAAGCTAATCAGAAGTAAAATCATAAATCACCCGCGTAAACTAGCAACTCTAACTAAAAGAGTTATACTCCATAGGTGTAAACAGAACCACGGGATCAAGTGCGTACTAACTTTTATCTTTTAAATGTGAATGGTACTATTTTACCTTCGAGGATATGCACATTGCAAATAAAGTTGAATGATCTGACAACATGAAGTTCTCATTCTTACACAAACCTATCTGTATGGTTTATTAGATAGTGTTATTTACTGTAGCATTACTTTTTTTAACTATCGTAATTCCTTAAGTTCGGAGTATTAAACAATTATACCCTCAATAGTTGAACAAGATTTAACAAAAGAAAATTTTGCACATTTCTACCGTTCTAATTAATCAACGTGTCAACGGTCAATGAGAAAATGAAACAATTAGCAAACGAGTGCAAATAACAAGCACCGAGATTCCAGAGCAGAAATCAAATTTGAAGGCTTATGTCATTTAGTGCCTAAAGAAAGAAAACGAGAGAAGACATGAAAGCAATTTCATTGACAAACACCAAACAAACTAAAATAAATTTAAAGCATAAAACTTACAGCACGTGGATGACTGTGGACAATCTCAACAGCCTTTTCATTACTCAAGTGTTCCCAAAGACCATCAGATGCAAATATAAGAAAAGAATCATTTGGATGGAGTGGATGAGAAATAATTGCTGGATTGGCAGACAAGTAGGGCATATTCATTGGTTCAGGAAGTCTGAATTTTGCGTTGATTGGTTCCCTATTATACTGCGCATGTTTCATATAAACATCACCAATAGATCTGGAAACCTGCATCAAATAGAAACATGAACTTGCTAACATGATATTGTGACTGCAATAAAAACCATGAACTAGAAACTAACACTGACATTAAGAAAAAAAAAACATCCTAAGACTTGGAGCTAAATGCAGGTGTAATTTCCATTTCCACAATTGACTTGAGATTTGAATTGATATACACCTATGCCCGAAAAACAAGAAGAAAAATTATTTTCATTCTTCTCTAATGATATCTCAGACCACATAGAGTCCTATATTATAACATCATAAAGGATAACAAGAAACAACATGTCACAGAGACCACCCCAAGAAAAGCCAGTTAACAAATTGTTTTGCTTAGGCCACTCACAGTTTCAGGATTTCTGATTTCCAAAAAGAATCAGTCAGTTATGCAGTTCTGGGAACAGTGAGGAGCATCACAGACTAGACTATGTTCCAAAAAAAGTATACATGGGTCAGGAAACTCGGGTAGAACAGAAAAAACCAGGAGAAACTTCAAGAAGTAAAGCTTTTAACAAGAATTACTAAATGAGTTCCAAATAATACTTAAAAGAATATGAGATAACCTGTATAATGCCCTTCACTCTCCACACTCCATGTTTAAGGACAACTATTTGAGGGTCAGTTGGGTGTAATGCCTTAAGCTCCTGCCTGACTGAATCAATGTTCGCATTGTGTTCTGTTGACAATTGTATGGCAGCAATTCCTCCCGTGTTGCCAACTTTCTTGCCCAACACAACACGAGAATCACCAAGGTTTGCCACAAAGAGAGTCTGTTGATGTATCACCCCAACTAGACAGCACGTACCTACTGTGGCTATGTTAGGTCGAAGACTCCATGAGTCTGATACAAGAGCAGTAAACCCTTCCTCTGTAGCCTGAAAAGCTCTCTCTATGGTCTCAGTTGTCACAACTCCTTGGGACCTTTCTGATATTGCTGCATAATCACAAAGCCTAAGCATGCCAACATAAGAAGGGCTCCATCTCTTTTGGTAGTATTTAGTTCACAGAGGAAAGCAAAGTACCGACCCATCACACCACGTATCAAAAAGAAAAGAAAATGAAAGAATAAGAGGCTAGAAAACATGTTGAGAAACATCTGCCTCTAGTTTTTAAATGCCTCAAAAGTCTAAACTTCCAACGCCCAATACAAAGGTAAATTTTCACTTGCAGGGAATGCCTAAAGAAACTAAGGCCCTGTTTGGCAAGCATTAAAGAACTCATATTACTGCACTTACTAGATTTTAGCACCCAAAACCAAATGAGAAACTCCCAACACACAGCATAAAAGTAGCAAAATTTTGGTCCTAGAGATCAAAATGAAAGTCTCAAAAGCCAGAAAGGCACATCTTAGGTTGTCTTCTAAAGTAACAAAGTTGCTCTGGAGATCTTTAAAAAGAAATTGACATTCAAGCTCTAAGTCTGAAAAGCAAATACTGGTACACCTCTCTCAACTGTCTCAGATACTTTACAATCAAAACCCATAAAAGCCCCCAATCAAAAGCGCAACCTTTCACATAAAAGCTTTCAAAAAAGAAAGATTGAAAATCACCAGTAACAGTTTCTCCACCCATGGGGCTCAATTCAGAAAACGACGTGGCTAATTCAAAATCACAGAGAAATCCCAACTCTCCTACATATTTAAGCAACAGGATACAGATTATTACAAAATCCCCCAAAAAAAAAATGACAAACCTCGAAAATGTTTGAAGAGATTATCGCAGACATAGCGGGCGGCTTCGGGGCCGCCGTGACCGTCATAGACGCCGACAAAGGTGCCGAATGGGCCGGACTCAATCTGGCTCTGGTCCTCGAGCACCTGATTGGCCTGGACGACAGCCATGGAGAAATCGCCAGAGCCATACTTGTCTAAGTCGCGAAACCAAAGTAACCCGTCTTTACCTTCTTTTCCACCTCCACCGCCACCACCACCGGCGCAAGTAGAACCAGTCGAGCCGGATTTCTCGCTGCTATGCCCGAACGGCTTCCAGCACAGAGAGAGCAGATTCATCAATGCCTGAAGCATCCCACATCTCTCAAAAACCCTAACCCCAGTACGCTCCTCCTCTTCCTCTTCCTTTCCACCTTTCTTCCTCCTCTTCCCACCTTTCTTCCTCCTCTTCCCACCTTTCTTCCTCCTCTTCCCACTTCACTATCTAGGTTGATCCAAAATTAGGAGGTGTAATGAAAGATAGAGATTATATAAATACATGTATATATATATATAAAGAGAAAGAGAGAGAAAGAGAGAAAAGAGATGAACCGTTGGTGTTGGTGTTTTTCTTCCTCACTTTCCTTTATTTTTCAATATTTTAATGGAGGGAGGGACAGAGGGACAGGGAGACAGACAAGTGATGGAGGGGATGCGCAGGATAAGATGGGGAGGCGTAAGTTAGCGAAGGGTGATGGAGAAGAAGACGAGGGGGTGTATGAGTGTTGGGTGGTGGAGGAACAGGGGAGGGGGTGGGTGTCGTGTGAGGAGGAGATGGGTGGGCGTGGTGGTGGTGACGGTGGTGGTGGTGTTGTGGGGACAAAGCTGAGTTTGTGTTTGTTGGATGTTGTTTTCAACGGTGTTTAAATTGTTTGTTTGCTTGCACAGTTGTTTCATCCAACCCTCTTGTATAATATATGCTCCTTTCTATATACTTTCTCAAGGGTCATTCTTTATTTCTTTGTAATATTTTATATAATTTTGACCATTTATATTAAATTTTATTTTAATATTACAAAGTTCTAATTTTATTCATTATATAAAATTCCTCATTTGTTACTATAATATTCAATTTAATATAATTTAAATTTTAATATATTATTATATTAATATGGTTATAATAACGATAGATTTAAATATTATCTTAATAAATCATAACATATACGGGTGAAATAAATATTACACGGTGAATATATTATTTTAATTATATAATCAAAACGAGTTAAAATTTTATTTTAATATCTCAATTTTCAAAAAATAAATATATTTTTTAAAAAATTTTTATGTAAAGTTATAAGAATGTGTTGATTCAATAGACTTTATAATTTAATTCATTATTATAATTGCACTTATTGGGTTAAATTTTATTTATACATATTAAAACATATATAAGTAAAATAAATATTATGCAATTATTATATATAATTTAACATATTTTATTTCAAATATATATATATATAAACATTTTATTTTTATATAAAATTTTTAAGAATATCTTATTATAATATATATATATATATGAACTGCTTTTATTTTTTATTGGTGTGCAAGAAAATTTATTTTAATAAATTACATGTTTATTCACTATTTTTGTTATATTCAAAGTAATTTTTTTATTTTATTTTAGTATTGTAAGTTAACAAAATTTAAAATTCAGTATTTTAAAATTAATAATATGAAAAATCATCTATTCAAAATTTTTAATTATTATTAATAATAATTTTGATGAATATTGCACATTAATTATGATATAATTTTTTAATAATATATATATATATATAAGATGTGAATTTTAATTCAAATTTATTAAAAAAAATTAATTATTATTCAATTAAATATTAATATCTACGGGGAATATTTAAATCTTGTTCGTTTGGCATTTTCAGCAAGTCAATTTTTGTTAGGCACAATTCATGCATGGGAGTGGCCACACACGAAACGTAGGGATAAAAGAGCCATCAACATCGATGCTAGCTGGGCGACGTGTTGCAGTTCGAGAGGCAAAAACGGCACCGTTCAAAGAGTCCTCCCCCAGCTTAAATACTGTTGCTGACACGCCTCCTGAACTACACTTTTTCGGTACCCCATGATTTTCCTTTTTTTTTTTTTTTTTCCTTTACAAAATATTTATAATTTTAACCCGTAATAAATTAAATTTCAAATTCATAAATGAATTAAAATTTACTTATAAATAAATTAATTGGATAAAACCCTAATAATTTAAATAAATTCCCAAATGGAAAATATTATTTTCTAAATAATCTAACCTCTTTTTGACACAATTTGACAAGGTTGAACATCCATCAATGCCTCCCACTCGGTCCTAAAATTATAGAACTAAGAAGGCGACGACCCAAAATTGACTGGGCAAATAGTGTGCTTTATAATTATTTGGAGCAACAAAATGTTTTTGTCGCCATAGATTCTCAGCGGTGGTGGGTCAATTGAAGAACAACATTGTCCTTGTACTTTCTTTTCTTTGACTCTCAATGCTGTGCCGTTTTTAGGAGACAATTAACACAAATTTGGAGCTCTCCCGTTGGACTTTTCTGCCTTATAGCAACCCACTCAAGCAGGCCACTCACTACCGCGTATTCCTGCAGATACGGCGTCGTTTTCCGCCAGAAAAAATGGGACCAATTTTATTGACGTTTTGGGCATCCCATAATTTACACACACACACATATATAAATAGTAGTGGTGAGATAATTAGCCTATATTATGGGTTAAAATGATTAAATTAATTTTAATATTTAATTTATATAAGATTATTTTAAACATTAAATATCATGTGTAATACTAGGTTATATTACCTTAAATATATATCATTTTGAAATTATTTATAACCCAATTAACTATCAGTATTGATGGTTCTTTTAATACAATGTGGGTGTCTCGTGGAATATTCATAAGAGTATTAAATGTTGTTATATGTTTATATAATTATATTTTTAGACTATGTACATCAAAATTATAGATGGTATAGTGTGGCAAAATGTCATGAAACTTGTGTGATCTTAGGTAGCATTTTATATAAAGGCTATAAACAACCCATATATATATATACATATATATTTAAAGAGAGAGATATATATATATTATATTATTATATTAAAATAAATTAAGTATATTTTTAATGAATTATCTAAGTGATTAATGTCAAACTTCAGTAATTAGGTACAATATTATGTTATCGTTAAAAAATAAGATAATATTTTTTATATAAATTTTTTTAATACTCACAACAACGATTTATCTCCGATCATATTTGAATTGAATTAAGTATAAATTTATTAAAAAATAACACGATTATTATATTAAAAATTAATTATAAATAAATTCAATCTCGACGTACAAAATTCAATTAAAAGATATATGATTGTCCGAGTCGTTATACTAAAGAAT